ATTTTTATTTTTAATATAAATTTATGATAAAAAATATTTAATATATTTTTAATTAGTACATTAAAAAATAAATCCTATTATAAAATAGAAGAAAAAAAAAAGTAACTATGGGCTTCGTTTTTGCAACCATGGGCTTCTTAAATTCCGTTGGAGGTCGTCCTTTAAAATCCATAATTATTGGGCTAAATAAATCGAGCAAGTGCTACAGTCAGTCAACAAACGATTGTTCAACTTTTCGAGCTGTCCAGAAGAATTATTGGACCGAATGGTGCAAAATCCTGAATTCCTCTTCCGTCAGTGCCAAAAACCAACATTTAGCCTTTTACCTTATAAAATTAGTAAGTTTTAGTTATTCAACTTATAAAATTAGTAAGTTTTAGCCATTCACCTTATAGTATGATATTTTTAGCTTTTTATCTCATAAATTTGGTACGTTTTAGCTCTTTACCTTACAAAATTGGTAAGTTTTAACCCATCACCTTATATTATGACATTTTTAGCCCCTCACCTATAGAATTGAAGAAAATAATCCTCACCTAATATCAGATTATAACATTATGTTAGTTCTGTTAGCTGATTGTTAATATCTGTTAGTATTTCGCTCTAGAAAATATAAAATTTAAATTCAATTTTATTTGTTAGTTCCATTAATAAAATGTTAACAGATACTAACAGTCAGTGAATAAAATTAACAATCAACTAATAGGACTAACAAAACATTATAACCTGATGTTAAGTAAGAGCTATTTTCTTCAATTCGTATAAATAAGGGGTTAAAAGTGTCTTAGTATAAGATGAGAGGTTAAAACCTACAAATTTTGTAAGGTAAAGAGCTAAAAGTGTCATATTATAAGGTTAGGAGCTAAAACCTACCAATTTTGTAAGGTAAAGGGCTAAAAATTGGTTTTAGCCTCCGTCACCTCCAAACTCCTACTGCCAGTACTTAGTATCCGTGTAATTCATGCTTTGAAAAAGTTCTTCCTTATAGAGACGGCAAGTTACAATTTCAGTGATTGGCAGGCCGGTATAAGGCTACAATATCATAAAATTTTGCTTTCACTCTTACATTATTTAATGTAACAATGGATTACTGCCATTAATCAACTAACCAAAACAAACTACTCTATATAAACAAAATTGCCACAAAAATTGTGAGACGACGACAGAGCAAAATTAAGTGCCTCAATTTGTTCCTCATGACGTGGAAAGAGTATTTAGTACTACTTTATCTCCAAGAATAAATTGTAGGTAGGATCCATTTCAGCCAACATTATGCATGCAACATTGATTAATGGTGGATAGTGATTCGAGTCAAATTTGTTTATTGCTTGAAATGGACCGGAATCTTCTAGGAACTAATATATTTGCAAATGTTGTTTTGTTTTGCGGGTAAATATGGGGCATTGCCGTACTGCTCATGTCGGCAGTGTTCAATTGAAGTCCAACTACTGTTGGTTTGATACAGTCATCTTTCTTCTGGGGTTACCTTCTTACTCAGGTAATTCAATGTTTTCTTTTAAGATCACTTTCATTTCTTATCTGAATGAGTAGACTTTTTTGGGTCTTACTCTGATTGTGGTCGTCAGTGACAGATTGCTAGTGGCATATGGGCTGACACAGTGGGTGGGAAGTCAGTCCTGGCATTTGGCATAGTTTGGTGGTCTATTGCTACTGTTCTTACTCCTGTTGCTGCCAAAATTGGGTTGCCATTCCTACTTGTTCGTGCTTTCATGGGAATTGGTGAGGTTAATACTTTGATTTTCTGACAACCATACCGTCAGTTCTCTGTGATTATGTTTATCTCAAAAATTCCATTGTAGAACCTGTTTTCAAGAGAGGATGGTAACTATTATTTAGTTTTTTCAAACTTTGTATTGACCTCATCCCCATGGTATATAATTGAAGGTTTGTTTTTGTTTCAGGTTGTTGCTATGCCTGCCATGATTAGTATTCTGTTGAAATGGGTTCTCGTAGCTGAGAGAAGCAGATCACTAGCTCTAGTATACAGTGGGATGTATTGTGGCTCAGTTACTGGTCTGGACTTTTCACCTTTCTTAATACAGAAGTTTGGATGGCTATCAGTCTTTTCTCCTTTGGTCTCTGGGAACAGTCTGGTTTGCTGTATGGCTGAACAAGGTAACCATTATTCAACCATGCTAATCTTTAGTATGCATGTTAGTATGTCACTTTTGCAGAATTTTGACTTTGCTGAAATTGTAATAGAAGTTCACATCGTGCACATAATATGTTTGATTGAAGGGAAATACTGTAGTTGTAGTCTACTTCAGTTGTTACCATACTGAGACCTTCTGACACTAGTGGTTATTCTGTTATTATATTTTCTCTTCTTTGTTTAGGCACATAGTACACCTTTGGAAGATCCTAAACTGAGGCCTCAAGAGAAGAAGCTTATTGTTACAAAATGTGTTTCCAAGGAACCTGTCAAAACAATCCCCTGGAGTTTGATCCTGTTAAAACCACCTGTCTGGGCCCTGATTGTGTGTCTCACTTCTGTCACAATTGGGGGACATTTATTCTTCTAACTTGGATGCCAACATACCATCATCAAGTAAGACATCGTGTTTTTTTGAATGTGCAATCGATTTATTCTTGCAACTCTTGATTGAAATAAGGGAGACTTCAAGGCTCTGACAGATTATCCTGTCCTTCATTTGCAACCAAGAAACTGGTTTCTGCTTTTAACTTTTGAAGCTGGAAGTAGTTTTGGGATTATATAGTGATTCTTTGAGCTATGTTCGAAAAAGAGAAATTGTTGCTTCTGATTGTGGTATTAATGGAGGTGCCTCTTTTTTTTTTTCCTCCTCCTAATAACACCACTGGTCCTGAAGTTCAATCGAACGGAATCTGGACTTTTTTCTCCTGGCTTACAATGGCTTTTTCTGCAAATGCTGGAGGGTGGATTGCAGATACACTTGTGAGCAGAGGTTTATCAGTGACTACCGTCCGCAAGGTATCTTAAGTTTTCTCATAATATTTTGTTTTCCTTTACCTTCTGAAAAATCTGATAATCCCCTCATCACAATCATCTTCTTCTTCTTCTTCTTCATTTTTTTCCTTTTTCCTCTTTGTGTCTGATACACATTTACATGGTGGCATCTGGCATGCACATCCCTTTGTTCATGTGCCCTTTGTTTCCTTTGTGCTCTGTTGCACACTTAAGAACTATATTTTCCTTAGTGATGATTCCTTGGAAGCTTATGTAATATATTGCTTACTCTGTACTCCATTGCAGATCATGCAAACAATTGAATTTCTGGGCCCTACTTTCTTCCTCACTGAGCTGAGCCATGTTGATTCTCCAACAATGGCTGTTTTTTGTATGGCATGCAGTCAGGTATGCTTCTTGCCTGTCACAAGACTTTGAAATATGGATATCATGATGCCATGGGTAACTGGTCAAGGTATGCGGTTGATCAATTATTTAATATTTCATTTGTCTTGAATAGGGAACTGATGCATTCTCACAGTCTGGTCTATATTCAAACCATCAAGATATTGCCCCTCGACATTCTGTAAGTGTTATTTTGAAATCCTCGTTCAAATCCTCATTTTCCTCTAACTAAACTATAATCTCACTCCGCCGTTGACAAAAAAGAAAGAATTTGAAAATCTTTTCTTCACATTTTCTTCTTATTATGAAATCCCACCATCAAATCCTTCATCCAAACTCAACCTTAAGCTTTTCTGAGGCAAATAACAATTTCACCTTTTATATTGTATTTATTGCTTTAGGGAGTACTGCTTGGGTTATCCAACATGGCAGGAGTGTTGGCAGGGGTCTTTGGAACAGCAGCAACTGGTTACATCTTACAACATTGTTAGATCTCCTTCTTTTCATGTTTGAATTGAGCTGCTAGTAAACTCAACCAGAAATACATGTTAGACTATCTGAAATTAATTAGAATACAAAATCTGATTTTTGGCACATACAAGATGGTAAGAGTATGCTGCCCCGAGCTGCATCATGCTTCTTTTTGTAGCAACTCTCGATATAGCTGATTCCTTTGACATTTTCTTCCTGACCGCAGGTTCTTGGGATGATGTTTTCAAAGTTTCAGTTCGGCTCTACTTGGTTGGAACAGTCGCCCGGAACCTCCTCTCAACTGGTGAGAAAATACTGGATTGACTCTCAACTAAGCTAAAATTTTGCATGTGGCAGCTCAAGCCTTTGTGTTTGAGCTTATTATGGAAGGTTTGAATTGATTGAATGCAAAGGTGAAAAAGGATTTCAGAATGAATTCAGATGAGAAGTGAGAAATAGGAATTTTGAGCTTGAATTATGCACTAAACTTTTTGAATGCTGAGTGAGGGCATAGGATCTTGCAGAATCTTTGAATCCTGAAATTGCCACTTTCTTGACCGCCACTACGGAAAGATGCAAGACTTCTCACTGGAGGAAGAAATTGTTTGTATGGTAAGTCCACACACGTCCTGTAAATGTTGAATTCAATTCTAACAAGTAAAATTTGTGATTATTACTAATTTTTCCCCTTCAATACTATTGCAAAAGTGAATATCTAAATAGTTAATGGGTGGAAGACTCGCCTCGCAAAATGAACAATAACTCTGCTCCTTATCACAGTGTTTTTTTCTTATTTTGCCCTTGATTCGCCCTTTCTCCCTTTGTCCTTATACTCTGACCTTTTGGTCTTTCTACAAAAATATTTTTTTAGTTTCCTTTTTAATCCTTGAACCTTACTTTTCTCTTTACTTTTAGCAGGGGTGAAATGGGTATTTAATGTTGAAATCTATTCACCCAATTTGATTTTCCTCTTTTGCCCTTACATTTTATTTAGTCTCTTGAGTTTGGTTTTTGGTCTTTTTGAGTCAAAATATTGTTGCTTTGTTTATTCATATTCAATTTTTTTTTTCATGCTGGTCTTAATATGGAATTAGACTGTGGATTGCAAAAAAGCTAAGTCGAAGTGGAAATTCAGAATTTGGTCAAAATTAAATATCTTAGGAGTTAAAATGAAAATAGTAATAGAGAAAAAGTGTAAATAAAAATGTTAATTATATATTTTTATTTTAAAATATTAATTTTGATAATTTTTAAATAAAAATATTAATTTTTAATTTTTTTTAAACATGTTAATTTTTGATTTTTAATTTAAAAATATTAATTTTTAATTTTTTTCTATTTAAAAATTAATTGTATGATAATGTTAACGAGGTAAACTATTTTTTAATTAAAATGTTGAAAATTAATATTTTTAAATAAAAAATTTAAAGTTGATATTTTTAAATAAAAAAATTATAAATTAATATCTTTATTGAAAAATTAATAAAATTGATATTTTTAAACAAAAAATACAAAATTAACATATTTATTTATCTATACCTTTTCTTAGCATTTTTGTTTCTTTCTTTTTCCTTTCCCTGTTTATTCCAATTCCTTTGCCCTCTAGCGCTCTCCCCTTTCTCCTTTTCTCTCTACTTCTCTTACCATGCTTAAATCACGTTTTCCCTAGACAATCAGATCTAAAAGAGAGAGCAAAGTCACTAGATTATGAAGATTAAGGCGAGTAAGTGGATAGTGGGTGTTGGGAAAAAGCTTGGAGGGAGATGCTATTAAGATATTATGCCGAAATGAATGTTAAAGAGGTAACCATTCTTTTCATCACTATTTCTACAATTTCCTATATTTTTCTAATTTTCCATTATTATTTTCCTAAATCAAACTGACAATGGCTGTGTTGGACTAGAAGCATCGTGCTCATCCAAGTGTTGTCGAGCGTGGAACTTTGACCAACATGGTCAAGCACGATTGTTCATCAGTCAAGACATCTTTTGAAATATTCATCTCTGAAGAAAGCTTTGACCAACAAAGGATTGAGGAGATCTCCAATTGCAAGCATTTCTCTCCCATCATTGACAATTGCCAGGTTTAAGGGGCAAGCTTAGAGGCACAAGAACCAAGAGCAGCCTTGAAGTTCAAAAGCTCAAGCACATCACACTTTATGTGGCTCTAGCAATCAAGGGATTCTCTAAGGAAAGGAATGCAACTACTCATTAAACAATTGTACTTTGAAAGATCTAGGAGTCAGATTTTACTAGAAACTTGAATGCTACCATGTCGATGTACTTAGTGTGATGTACTAGGCTTCTACTTTGTAATGAATGACCATCTTTGTAATGCATGTTGAACTGCTTCTAAGTGTTTTTTTCTACAACCCTTTGAGTTTGATGGAAATCTCAATGTGTTCAAAGATATTTTGCTTCATCTGAGGCTCCTTGAGGATTGGAAATCGATAATGTGTGAATCCATATAACAATTGTTGAAGCACTAAAAAAATTATAGGATGACTTCTAACATTATTAGACCTTGTTTATTTTTCTTTTACTTTCTATTTGTAGGTAGGGTTCATAAACTACTTCGAAAAAAAAAAAAAATAGGCATGGTAGTCTCTCTATGTTTTCTCTCTCTTTAGAGCAATGCATCATCCATCTAGAAGGTGGCCTCAACATGCTTTTATAAACTCACCAAGATATGATGTTGAAGTAGATTTACACACGAGACATGTGGATCTAGATTCAATGAATGAGGGGGCAAACCTAGGACATGGGGAAACTTGAGTGTTATTGCTTCTAAGGATGAACCCCTATTTGACATGACCAGTACTCCCGCCTTGGGAAGCACTTTGGCTAATTGGACAATGGAGCTTTTCTCTACTTCATTCATCTATGAGTAGATTAAGTCAGATTTCTAGTGGCTCAGCTTGTGGCTACATGAAAGGAGGGAATAACAAACTTTTTTATATTCTCTAAAATATTTGTTGTCATGCTAATTAGTTTTCCAGTCTTTACAATTCAGTAACACATGTTACCATATTGTCATCTTTTAAACATGATGCAACTCTTCTTGATGCCATTAATATGCTAAAAAAGAAAAGCAAAAAAAAAAAAGGTTAAACCTCTTTTTTGGTCCCTCAACTATTGTACGGACCCCCGATTTGGTCCCTGAACTCAAAAAATCTTTGACTTAGTCCCTACTGTTTACCATTTTTACCCCAATTTGGTCCTTCCGTTAAACATCTCTCCACCTGTACTGTTAATTCACGGTAAGATGATGACATGTCAAAATTTTACTCCACGTGAAAGACAACATGGCAAAAACTAGTGACATGGCAATAAAAATTTTAAAAATTATTTCTCCTTCCTCGTCCCCTTTCTCCTTCCTCTTCATTTCCTGGACCCAGAGCCTGGGATCGTCGAACCCAGGCGATGGGATCCTTCAAACCCAGCTGGGCGTTCCTCGTTCCCTTTCTCCTTCCTCTTCCTTTCCTTTTTCATCAATCAATTCATCATCATCATCAAACAACACCCACAAAAACTTCATCAATCAATTCATCATCATCATCAAACAAAACCCACAAAAATACAGAAATTATTTATTTTTTTTTTGTTGAAGAACCCAAGCCTGGGTTCCTTCAAAGAACCCAAGCTAGCTGGGTTCTTCAAACCCAGGCTTGGGTTCGAACCCAGGCGCTGGGTTTCCTCGAACCCGCGCCTGGGTTCCTTCGAAGAACCCAAGCCTGCTGGGTTCTTCAAACCCACGCTTGGGTTCTTCGAAGGAACCCAAGCTTGTGAACCCAGCAACGGCCGTTGGTGTTTGCCGTCTAGGGTGTGAATGGCAAGAAGGAGAGAAGATAGTGATTTTTGCAGGAGGTGGACCCCACATTTTTTTTTGTTGGCTAAAATTTGACGTGTTTTAATGACATGGTATTTATCTGTAATAATATTTTGACATGTCATCATTTTCCGTTAGTTAACTGGACACATCATTGAATTTTTAACAGAAGGACCAAATCGGGGTAAAAATGGTAAACAGTAGGGACCAAATCAGGGATTTTTTGAGTTCAGGGACCAAATCAAGGGTCCGTACAATAGTTGAGGGACCAAAAAAGGGTTTTAACCTTACACTTAATTACTTGCAGATTTAAAATAAAAGTAGTTAAACTACTTGATAATTAAAACTGAAAGAGAATCTACGAAATAATTAAAGTCTGGAAACTTAGAAAAGTAAATCTGGAAATTGAAATTAAATAAATTGCATATCTAACTGTTGTGCAGAAACAAAAAAACAAAGACAAAAAGCATTCAACCCATTTACATGAACAAATAATATAATTGAATCTATAAAAGAAAGAGGAACTAACCAAATCAACAAGGCAAACCTGTTTTGCAGGCTGAATTGCTTCCAAATGCTTAAAAACTAACTTAAATTGAAGTCTTTGACAAAAGATATGAATAAGGATGGAAAAAGCTAACCTAAGGCTATGAACAAGAACAGATCTGGTAAACTAATTTGGAAACTATTGTTGAAATCTGGAAAAAGCAATCTGAAAGTTGAAAAACATGCTGTGGGCAGTGTGTGTGTAGGGCAGGCTGTCTGGAACTGATCTCTTCCTCCTGTTTTTCTTTTCTTCAATGTTGGGAAACCTCTTTCATGTTTCTTGGCCCTCTCCCACCATGATTGAGTGGTGGGGGTTCCATGTTTGGCAGTTGACAGTTTTTACTCAATTTTATCTCCACTAAAACTCTAGAGATAACCTCCTCCTAGAAACTCTCAACTTCCTAACTTAAATCAAACTCAAATATCATAAGTGATTTTATTTTCTACCACCTAAAATCTAGCTTCTTTAAAATTCCGTCTGAACCTTTAAATTGTAATCCAGCTCAGCCCAAATCCAACCTGCTAATTTTTCTTGATAATTGGGCTTTAACTTAACACGTGGCCTTCTCTTATTGGTTTATTTTAGGTGTAAACAGTTTGATAGAAAAGTTTGTTGATCAAATAATTTAAATTAATTAATTAAAATAAACTCACTTTTCCTTTCTTTCTTTATTTTTCTAATATCAAATAGATTATAAAAGATTTAATGGTATTCTTGTGTAGAGATGTCAACGGGGCCCCGCGGGGCCGAGGAGTGCCTCCCCGTCCCCGTCCCCACGAATGGCGGGGACGAGGATCCCCACGAGGATTTTTGACAGGGGGCAAAATTTGCCCCCCGTCCCCGTTCCCCACCAATTAATAACAAAGTATATATTTTTTGCATCAAACATAAATAAAAATTAATTTAACACAAATAATTAAATCAACAAAATTGTTCCAAATAAAGATTAATCCAACATAAAGCAACATGTTCCAAACATAAGTTGTTCCAAACATAAGTTGTTCCAAATATACATAGAAATTAATCCAACATAAAGCAACATACTTGTTCCAAATATAAACACTATAATCAAGCTGTTACAGATCTGCAGACAGTTACAAATACAGAATTTGTGGGGGTTTTTCTTCCCTATTTTAGAACTAGCAAAACATAATTGAATGCCGAATAATTTTTTTAAGTTCATGTTATCATAGATTAAAAATTAGAAAAAGGAAAAGAAAAGAAAAATTATACAGACAAATAGATATAAAAAAGGAATCAGAACTCAAATTTTTAGTTAAATGATGTTTGGTTGTTGAGAAAACATACATGCGGAATGGAAAGAAAAAAAAAAAAGAAAAAAATCTTCAATAAAGCTGAAAACCAGTAGGGAAAAACTAAAAATTCAAAAATCTGTTTTCCTTTCCTTTCCTTTTCCCTCGACTGTCTCTGCAACAAAGCACCGAAATGAAATAAAAAATAAAACATTAAACACATATGATACAATGCTGACCACGTCGGTTTGAAGAAGCAGCTGGATCCACGAATAACGCCGGAGAATTCAAACAGAAAACTCGGAATCCAAAATTCCGGTGCAAAGATGATCCTCATGTCTGTAGATCTGTAACAGCTTCAACAGCATATTTGTAGCAGCTCCAACAGTAGATCTGTAGTAGATCTGTAGCAGCAAGAAAGGAAGAGGAAGGTTGAAGGTGAGGTGAGACTTGAGAGCTTGATTGTCCGGTTGAGACCAAGAGTGAGTGAGGGGTTGTGGCTGTGTGCGTGAGTGAGGAGAAAGGGAGGGGAAATGAATAAAGTTATGAAATTAGGGTTGGAACTTGGAACTTGTAATTGTAAGGAGGATGCTTGATTGCTGGGTTGGCCGGATGGGTTGGCCGATTGGGTTGGATACTTGGGTTGGATGGGTTGGGTTGCGTGTGTAAAATTTAATTTTTATTGAATTAGGTATGGGTTAGGTTTGGGTTTTATTTTAAATATTAAATTATATTTGTAATTGTAAGGAGGATGCTTGATTGTTGGGTTGGCCGGATAGGTTGGCCGGTTGGATTGGATACTTGGGTTGGATGGGTTGGGTTGGGTGGGTAAAATTTAATTTTTATTGAATTGGGTATGGGTTAGGTTTGGGTTTTATTTTAAATATTAAATTAAATT